GCAAGTAATAACTAGAAAATATCATTAAGACATATGTCCCACAAGAATGTAAATTGGTGGCACAGGGTTCCCTTGAATAAAATGGTGATGGCATTCCACAGTGTACATTTGCTTTTGTTTTTGATTTGATTCTTTTTATTGTTTTCTGAAGAAAGTGTAAACGCTGAGTCCTTGCTTTTTTTATTCCAATTGCTTTTTCTGGACTATTTTTAAGTAGGAGTGAAATGGATAACTGTTCAGTTGAAATGCAGAAATGATAATGGGCTGACTGTCTTGATTATTAAGGATAATGAAGGTTCTATATATGGGGGTTATGCTTCCCAGCCTTGGGAGAGGCATGGTGATTTCTACGGAGATATGAAGTCTTTTCTCTTTCAGCTCCATCCAAAGGCATCCATATTCAGACCAACTGGGGCCAACAACAATTTACAATGGGTATTTTCTACTTGCTTTTCTATTTTGCTGAAACAAATGTGCTTTTGAATTGTTTATTTGTTTGATTTCAATGAATTTTATACAATGTTCCTCACACTTATGATACTACCAATGGAGTTTCTTTCTTTATTTGGCTTTCTGTGAAAGATATATGATATCCTTCACTTGGTACAATCGGTAGTCAGAAGGATATTTGTATATCAACCTTTCTTTTTTTATGATTAGAATTTTTCTGTTTTGCAACTACATGTGCAATTGTTAAGCTGTGTTGTAGCTAGAAGGGCTACTGTAAAATGGATCATTGCTTATTCGATAGATCTTAGTGGAAAATAAACTGTTAAAACTGTAAAAGTTAATTCAAGGGTTTCTCTGTCTGACATTTTATTCTTCTTAAATCATTGATGAAAGTGGGTTTGACACTGGAATAAAAGAAATTTTAATTGTGTTTGTCACCTTAATTGACCATTCATACTCTTTGTATTTAGTTTTTTCTGCAAAATGTTGATTTTTTTTTTCTTTCATCTCAAGTTTCTACTTTAGTAGTTGGAAAGTAGCACCCAGTTCCCACAGTCAGTGGTATTCCATTTCCTTCTAGTGTACACTGGCATTTCCATGCTTCGTTTTATGTTTACGCATGCATTTAGTACTATTGTTTTTATTTTTGGCCTTCAGCATTGTTGTTGTTCAACTGCCTATTGTTGTTTTGTTCAACTGACTTATGTAGCTTACAATTTCCAATTGGCAGTGTGCTGTTAAGTTTCAGTTCAGAGGCCATTCCAAATGGCATTGGGTTTGGAGGACAAATTAATCACTTTGGCCTGTTCCTCTCAGCGGGCTTTGATCAGGGACACACTTTCTCTTGCCTGACATTCAACAGCCCTTGCCTTTCAAAGAACAGTAAAATCTGCCCAGAAGTGATAGAATGCTGGGGAGTTGGTAGGAAAGGAACGCAGCAAGAAAGACAAGATGCTCTTAGAGGTACTGTGTTAGAAAGGTTTAAGGAGGACCGGAATATGCTCAACATGGTAGGGATTGCAAAAGCTAATGAGTAAATGTGATCGTCTTTGGCCTGCACTTTCAGATAGGGCATCAACATTTGCATCAGTGCTTAAGGTTAGAAGTCTTGTTCAACATCTGTCTAGTTCAAGGAAAATTGTTTTTATCTCGAGTTCCTGATTCCTCAATCAAACCAGACTTTATTTTTTTATCATTATAGTCCCTAAGAACACAAGTGTATCATGTATATGCCAAACCCTCTCTTCCAACTACAAAAAATTACTGGTGGTTTGAAACAAGAAATTACGGCAGTGTTTATGAGGAATTGGACACTAATCTACGCATCTCACAGAAAGACTTCTATGCCTCTTTCTTATGCTAGAAATAGTAATTATAAAGTTTCTCTATTCCTTGCAAAGAAAAATCAAAGAATATGAATCATGTAACTCTTTTTGGTGCTCCCTTGTTGCTCAAGTTTCAATACATTTGTGGGCAGCGTAACGTAAGTAGCTTGCCTCTCTCATGCGACTTTTTAGATTTATGATATCATTCAGTTGATGCAGTAGGTAGTAATAGGCTAATTTTATACCAACATTTCCCTTTCCATTATTGGAATTTTTCTGTTCTTCAAATGCAACTGCAATTTTTAAGTTCTGTTATAACTAAAGGGGCTACTGTGAAGTTAACATTGCTTGTTTTATATTTCTCAGTGGAAAATATATTGTTCACACTTTGAAATTAATTCAAGAATGTCCCATGTCTGAGTCCTTTTTTGGCCAATCAAATATGTATGACATTTATTCTTTTTAAATCATCAATGAAAGTGGATTTGGCACTGGAATTAAAGAGATTTTAATTTTGGTATCACCTTAGTAGACCCTTCATAATCCTTCTTCCTTTTTTTTTTTTAACCCGAAAATGGTTTCTTTCGTCTCAAGTTTCCACTTTATTAGTTGGAAAGTAGCACAGTTAGACAGCATGTGGTATTCCATTTTCTTATAGTTGTAGTGTACAGTGTACACTAGCATTTCGGTGCTTCGTTACTGTTTATGCATGGATTTGGTACCATTGTTGTTTTCTAGTCACAAAGGCTTCCATATCTGGAACTTCATGAACTTTTCAATTTCTCACCCCTAGCTCCTGTATTCCCTAGTATTCGAAGGATTTGCATTTGACTTTTCGACCCTACTTTTCAAAAATTCTGTTGCGTTACATCTCTTGCTTTTATCATTTTCATGGATTGCTGTTTTATTTCCTTCTTCACAGGCACCTCTACGATGTTTAATGGCTTCTCTGTTTTCTGTCGCCAAAAGTACAAAACAATGGAGCTAACTTGCTGCCTTCTTGCTGACATTTCATTGCACACTCATTCTCATAATTTGTGCAAGTTTGAATGCGACAACTCTGACGGTAACGCTCAAAGCTTCAAAATTAAATCTAAACAAAAGATATCTTATTACATTCCTCGCACTTTGGATCTATTCTTTGCAGTTCCTTTGTGCTTCGGTTGTCATTTTCTTTGCAGCATAGTAACATATCTCTCTAGCTGTTCAGCACCTCCTTTACCACAGCTTCTTCTTCTTTGGACCATGCTGCCTCAAAGGATTTGGAGATTCTGCAACATCAAAGTTGCATCTAACGTAGACTTTATCTTAAAAGCGTTGGCATTTCTAGCAACTATACGTACTTTTGTGTATTCTTCATCTTCTACCATTTCCAGGGCTTAGGATTTGGCTACTTGGTCATCAAAATAATTTGATGTAATGCACTGAGTACTCTGTTAGTCCACAGTGGCGTGGTCTCAAAAAATAATTACTATTTTTATCTCAGTGGCACTATCCCAAAATAATAGCCATTACTCTTTTATTGACGGCAGGACAAGTGGCAAAACTAGTTTCAGTATGATATCAGCATGTCAACATGACCATGATTCGACTCTCCTTCGCAAGGTCTAAGAATATAACAATTGTAGTGGACAAATAACTTGGTAGGCAAGTCATGAACCATGTTCAAACTAGAGACAGAAAACACTTTTCAAGTTTAGTTAAAACACCGGCTTATATTTAAAAATGGGTTAAGTTTAGAGTTGTTTTCTATGCAGGTTCAACTAATTTCCACATATAATTAAACTATATACATGGCAAGATCTCCCACTTTGTTGAAGAATATACATATCCTAATTTACATCAAGTGGGTTGTGGGGATTCATAGTTTGTCTAGTGGTGTGCTTTTAGAGATGACCACCTGTGAAGATAGTTGAGGGGGGCAGGGAGATGTGTGGCTATATGTGGAACAATGAATTAGCAATAAAAGATAATTAACCAACGATTTGTTGATTTAAGTGAAAAAAATTTAGTTTCTTTTAAATAAGATCTTAAGTTTGAATGCTTTTAGAGATGACCACCTGTAAAGATAGTTGATGGAGGTTGAGCAGTGTGTGGCTATATGTGGAACAATGAATTATGGTGTATTTTAGAGATGACCACCTATAAAGATAGTTGACGGGGGCAAGGAGATGTGTGGCTATATGTGGAACAATGAATTAACAACAAAAGATAATTAACTAATGATTTGTTGATTTAAGTGAAAAAAAATTTGATTCTTTTTAAATAAGATTTTAAATTCGAATGCTTTTAGAGATGACCACCTGTAAAGATAGTTGATGGAGGCTGAGCGGTGTGTGGCTATATGTGGAACAATGAATTATGGTGTGTTTTTAGAGATGACCACCTGTAAAGATAGTTGGCGAGGGCAAAGAGGTGTGTGGCTATATGTGGAACAATGAATTAGCAATAAAAGATAATTAACCAACGATTTGTTGATTTAAGTGAAAGAAATTTAATTCCTTTTAAATAAGGTTTTAAGTTTGAATCTTATGAATAAAAAAAAAAATACTAAGAGAGCTTCCCTCTTAATAGGATTCAACATGACTTGACTTGATATTAATTTGGACTCAATGTAATTTTGGTATACTAAAAAATTTAGTACAAAAAAAAGGACAATTAAAAAAGAATTTAGGGCACCCTTTAAATTATATAGTCACCAAATATTTATGGAGTTTGTAGTCTTACATAATAGATTGTATCTAACTATAAAATACTAGTCATTGAATAGAAGGGTCCTCCCTCATTATCAAAAGACCATCTTTAACCTAATAATTAGTGTTTTACTTTATTTATCACAGTTACGGTAAATAAAGAATTTTTATTTTAAAAAGATAATTACAACATATATTACATAAGAAAGACTATTTAAATTAATTAATTAGGGATAAAAATGAAATTCTATCAATTAATTGTTACATCCCTATTTTATTAGAAGAAAAAAATTAGGCCTACTTGAGTTGAATGGAGGGTGGAGCCACAAAGTTTAGTGATGGGGAGCAAAATTTTCTGTTGTTGACAACTTGAATTTTCAGTATTTTTTTATGACACTACTTAATTTTCTTAAGAATCTTAACAAAATGAAGAAATGAATATATTTTCTCCTTCCCATATCTCAAATAATTTTTTTATTAAATATGAATTATTTTATTTAAATAAAAAACAATGCCTTATTATGATAACAAAAATGATATATTTACAATGTTATATAATATTGTAAATTTATAATATAATATATTATTATATAATTTATTCTTTTCACTCAAAGGTCCACTTGTAATATAGTTTATATGTATTTATTTAATAACACATCATACCCCTTTAATATTACATCATGATTGTGAGCTTTTAATTCTTTCAATTAATTTAAATTATTTTATAATTTTACTGCTCTATTGTATTGTATTGTTATTTTGGATAAATAAAATTCACATTTTATCAAAAAAAAAAAAAAAGAAGAAGAAAGAATATGAAAAGGAAGAACATATAATTTAGTGTTTATAAATCAAAATCATTAATTAAATAAAGATTCAAACTTTTTTATTAATTAAAGTCTTTGTTAATCATATCACTTACTAAAATAAATAACAAAAATACCTGTGGGGTGGAACAAGTGAGCACAGAAAGATACCTCTTGTTAAATGGAGTGCGGTATGTTTATCTAAAAGCATGGAACGCATGGGTCTTCGGTCTGCGGAAGAAATGAACCTAGCTCTTCTTTCCAAGCTTGGGTGGAGACTAGTAACCGAGGTCGAACCTCTCTTGATCAAAGTTTTGAAGGCTAAGTATTTTCATGACAAGGATTTTCTTTTAGAAGAATCAAAGGGGGGAGCTTCACATACCTTGGAAAAGCATTCTAGAAGTTAGGCATTTGGTGGCTAAGGGTATAGGATACTTGGTGAGTACAGGTAGAAAGGCTAGCTTCTGCTTGGATAGTTGGCTAAAAGAGAAACCACTGCATAGTCTGCATTGTCATGTAACCAAAAATATAGCTGCCGAGCACTTAGAAAAATTGGCATCGGACTATTGGAGAAGTAATGGATGGAACTTGGACAACTTGAGCCAGTTTCTCCCTGCAAGTATGTTACTCCAGTTGGAGATGACAATGACATACCTAGATAAGGACCTACTCTCAAGCGGTTGATTAGATTATATGGAAACACAATAGCACTGGTAATTTTTATACCATGAGTGCCGATCATTTGCTTATTAATTCTGAAAATTTTCCTCTGACAGTTGCTTGGAACAAACTTTGGAAGCTGAGAGCCCCTCCAAAATCTAAGACGCTGCTGTGGTTAATAGCTCATGAGAGGGTTCTTACCAATTCGGCTGGAGTATCGAGGGGCCTTGCACGAAGTGATGATCGCCCACGCTGCAACACAGGGCCAGAAACCGTGCTCCATTTGGTCCGTGACTGCCCTACATCAGAAGCAGTATGGAGACGCTAGCTACTTAAGAGACTACCAATGGAACCAATGGCAATCGATGGAGTGTAGCGAATGGATCCATCAAAATATAAAATGTCAATTGAAGATCAAGGAGTTCGAATTAGAATGGAATGTTGCCTTTGCTGTGATTTTTTGGTATATATGGATAGGGTGGAATAAGACTGTTTTTGATGGAAATTACATGTGGCATTTGTTGGTTTTTTAAAACAAAGAAATGGAGAGAACCGAGAGGAAGATGAAAAACAGAGCATATATGACTTCAACTCAACTTTTCTCATTAACAATCTCTCCTATTTATAGGAGAGTACAATCTTTAAACAATTCAAAATTCAAACAACTTTCTACATTAAAAAACAATAAAAATACATTTAAAATTTGAAATGAGTAACAGCTAATTTTGCTGCAGCCTTGCGTACTTTGGCAGCTCTGCAGCCA